ACTGGCAGAGGCACAGCAGCTGTTTGACCAATAGCACATCACCAGACTTTCATCCTATTTCCACTTTCCTGCTCCCCTGACAGCCCTCCTGATGCTGCTTTTTCATGGGTTTTAATTAGAGAAGCAGCTCAGCCATGAAGCTGGGCTGAGATCAGAGGCCGTGTCCCAGGCTGCAAACGTGCATCTCTGGCCAGTGCAATGAGGAACGTCCACGATGCGCTGCCTTCGAGCCACGTGAGGCTGCAGCTGCACAGAAATGTCCCACTTTGAGCAGCAAAGTGGGACTTTGAGTGGCTTCTCCTTGTTTTGCATGGTCTGCTCACATCCCTCTGTGCCACCACATCCAGGTGAGCTGTGCTGAGAGTTGCTGATGCTGCGAAGGGGAAGTTGTGCTCACCCCACCACAAACCAGCTGAAAAAGGGGCAAAAACCCCTTTGCTGGGTGTTCAGCACTGGCTGCTGTCTGTGTTTTTCCCTTTTTCCTCTGAGAAGAGCTCAGCTGAGTCCTGTGAAAGCCCATAAGAGCTTTCCAGCTGGTTATGCAACTCCCTTTGGCCCAGCAAAGGGATTCCTGAGGAAGAGGGGAAGACGGGGCTCCTCTCGGTGCCAAAGCAGCGTCAACTGATCCGCCACGGCTGCTCTCCACTTAAAGTAGGACAAAGCCTCCTCTGGAGCTGTTTCTCCTCTTTCTCCAAGAAGCAGAGCAGATGATAGCCATGCTTTGCCCAGGGATGCTCAGCCATGGACAGGACACATCAAAATGGCTCTTGTGCCTCATCTCAGAGCTTTAAAAGTCAGATTCAACTGAGGAATTCATCAGGAGTATGGAATATGCTGGGTTTTCCTAATCCAAAGTGCTGCACCAGGAAAAATCCTATAGTGGTCACTGCTATATTAGGAAAAAAGGGACTTATGACATTTTTATATGAGAAGGATGTTATTGGTAGCATTTTTCTGAGTATAAACCTTCCAAAACTCACCAATAGAATATTTTTCCATTTTGAAAGTATCTTTCACCAGAAAAGCATGAAGTACAACAACTTCTAATAAATAAATTTTTAAAAACCCACTAGGAGGAGAGGAATGGCAAGTCATATTTCTCCCATGTCAAAATTACCTGCCTCAAAATTTTCTGAGCTGAATTTTTTTTACCTTTGGTATCAAAAATGGGATTTTTAACAAGCTTGAGATGGACTTGCCATTGGTGTTGACAGCTTTTGGGGGATGGTTTCAGATGGAGACCGGTTGTTAAGACTGGGAAACCATCAGCTTGGTGGAAATCAAGGCCTGGCTCTGGTATGCAGGGTACACCCGTGAGAAGAGTGTAAGGAAGTTTCCAGAAGGAATCCTGCTGCTGGCTGGCTGGGAATGAGGGCTCATTCAGTTTCTGCACAAGATTTGAGTCCTTGGAGAGCCCCAAGGCAATGCTGGAAGCTCAGGAGCAGCTGCCAGCTCCGAGCTCCTCGCCAGGTTCCACACAGGAACCTGCAAGATCCACAAGTTTTGTTGCTGGAGGGAGATCGTGGCACTGTGTGTTTTGTAAATAAAACATGACACTAAGAAAACTCCTGCCTGTGTGTCATCAGCTCCCTTTGGAACAGGACACAGACCCTTCCATCTCCAGATCAGCCTCACAGCTTGCTCCAGCTGCTTCTCTTTTGTCTGACAAATCAGTGCCACCCACCCCCAAAACCCTGCTGAAATTTGGGGGTTAGCAAAATATTTTAGGCATGAAAAGCAAGAGTGTGCATGAGGCTTTATCTCAATTGTAACACCAGGCAAGCTGGGTGCAAACAGTAGGAGTTATGAAAACATTGGAATCCTGGCTGTGGAGCGAGTTAGGAAAAATAACACCTGACCTACAAGTCACCCATTCTTGTTTTAGCAGTGTTTGGAGAGCCTGTGTAGATCTTTGTTTGAAATGTACACAAACACACTGAATTTCATGGGCTTAGCAAATATGTAATCTAAAAGTGTGGGTGCCTCACATTTCTCAGGATCCACCTACAAACAGGGATATATCAGGGAAATTTAATTATTTTTTGCACATATATACACATGTATGTTTGTGTACATGGTGTAAATATGTTATTATATTGTATTCACAGTATGTGTTTATATATACATACATGTATTTATATATATGTACAGAACAATACTGAAGTCTTATTTTTCTCTATATGTAGGTGAGTATTATATGTATAAATTATATATTCTTAAACTTAACCAGATTATGAGCAACAATACAATAATAAAGCAACATTTGCAAGGGAGAGCAAGGACAAATCAGTGGGGAAAGGTGTTTTACACAGAGGTTTCCAAGGAATGAGACCAAAGTGGTGTTTTGTGGAATTTTAAGGGGGCAGAGGAGGAAAAGACCCAGAGGTCTCAGAGCCATGAGCTGTGAGTGATTTGTACTGAATAAATCATTCATCACCATGTATTTAGCTAGTAGGAAAGTAGGAAAAGAATTGTAGACAAATTGAAAGAAGGGGTGGAGTTGTTGGTATATGAAGCATGAGCTTCAAAATTATGGAGTGTTTCAAGCCCATGTGCAGAATTTAAGGACAAAGGGATTTCCCTGGCTGTTCCCTCTCTGGAAATAAATCTGTTCCTTCTCTAGAAATAAATCATTGTTGTGAGCAACACCGGAGAACAAAACAGCTTCATGATACTTATAATGCCTTGGTTGGGTCCCTTTTCTAATCAGGGTGTGGGGCAAGTCTGGTTATTTCCTGCAGAGAAAAGCTACCTTATTAAAAAGATAATTTTGTGGTGGCATTTTAATATAACTCCGGCTCTCCATGGAGTTTACTGATAAGGAAGGGTGCTTTTTTTTTAATGATAATGAGAAAGACCCTGTGCAAAAATCCAGCCTGCTCCGAACAGGACACCAAGCATTGGCAGCTGCTGTTGAGATTTAGAGCTGGAACAAGACGAGTTGGTTATAAAGGTGATGATGAGGCCTTTACAAATCCAACTTTATCTGTCATTTCTCTTCTTTCCTCCCGGCTACACCTCTTTTTACAAGAATGATCAGTGCTCTGGACCTTGCCTGATATGGTTCAGCAAGTGAGACAGATTCTTTGCCCTGACCTTGTTTTGAAGGGCTAGTTCTGCCCTTTCAGAAGTATGGAGTTTCCAGGTGAGTTCCAAAGTACATTGTCTGGGTTGAACTGGGTTGCTAAGCTCTTCCCCTCCATCCCATTTCCCAGAGAGTTAACAGGAGTGAAAAGTACTCAACACCCCACTAAAGGTGCTCAGATCCCCAGAGAACTTGTCCCTGGAGAGGAAATAACAGCTGAAGGGTGAGATGAGATGAAGATATTTCCAGAAATGAAAACAAGGCCAGGAAGGTTCCTCTGGAAACACAGGACAAATTTTCCTTGTTAAATAATTCAGCTAAGTCCAAGAGAACAACTCGCCCTGCAGAATTAGGAAGGATTTGAAAGAGAAAGAAAGTATTCGGTGCAAGAGCCGGAGGGGCCGTTCCCCGAGAAGGTGCAGCACAAAAATAGATGTAAATCTGCAAAGGCTGTCACGTTGAAGAAAATCTGAAGTAACTCTATTGTTTTCCATGGGGTTACTTTGGGTTTACACCAGCGTGACTAAGATTAGCATATCAGCTTGGGCGTGCTCCATACGATAAGTGTTCGCTCGGGGAAGTGGAGTGTTGAGGCTGCTCTTGCAAGGGGCCTGAGCCTGTGTTTCAGGTAGACTCTGCATCCTCTTATCTCCTTCCTCCCGCAGACCTGAGGTGTGCTGAGACTGCAAGTCCTTTGCTTTATCACCCGCACGAATCCGAACTCTGCTCCGGCCCCACCACGGCAATGAGCTGCAATGAAAATTGTATAACTGCTGGCAAGGAGGAACCCGACAGGATAGTGGGAGCAATCCACCCAGGGAAGGGAGGGGAGGAGGAAAGAGCTTGACACAGCCAGCCCTGCAAATTAAAGTAGGAGGAAATAAAGCAATTAAACAATATTCAACTCGAGGTACAGACTGAACGGTGGGGAAGGCTCGCACAGCCTGTCTCCTGGACAAACACCATCCAGTTTTATGAGCACAACCTCATTTAAGTGTTTGTAACCAAGCTGTAGCTTCATATAGAATAAAATAATACAAGTGTGAAATAAACAGCGAGATGCTTTTGAACGAGGAGCTTCATTCCTTCATCTGCAAGGACTTGAAAGTGCTGTACGTCTGTTTCTTGAAGGATTTGCAGGTGCAGAGCCACGTGTCTGAAAGTGCTCAGGAGCTGAGGAGCTGCTCGGGACACCTTGCCTCAACCTGTGAGGTGTGAGGTTAAGGACATCACGGCTGTGCTCCCCCAACCATGAAGTGGCCCCAAAATCCCACCTGAAGCGGCCCCAAAATCCCACCTGAAGCCACCATCTCCCTCTCATGTGGTGCGAGGGGCCATGAACGCAGTGAGGGGATGATGTGAGGGCCACGGTGGCCCCTTAATGTTCTCTGCAGATCCCAGTGTGCAAGAACGCCACAAGGTGCAGACCTTTCTCCACAGAAAGGGTGATTAGACATTGGAACGGGCTGCACAGGGACGTGGCAGAGTCCCTGTCCCTCAAGGAACGACTGAATCTTACACTCGGTGCCATGCTCTAGGTGACATAACGCTGTTCAGTTATAGGCTGGACTCGACGATCTCGCAGCTCTTTTCCATCCTAATGGATTCTGACATCCTGCGACCGCCACCACTGGTTCCGCCGCCCTGAGACTGTCGCGACACCGGGAGGCGGCACCGCCGCACTACTTCCCGTCCCGGGAGCGGTAGCATCCCGTAAGCAGGGCCGCATCACCCCGCCCGCGCTTCCCGCCCGGCCTATAAAGGGTTTCCGACGGGCCGCGTCGCGCCCGTAGTATCCGTGCGCCAGGCGAGCCCGCTGAGGGGACGGCGGCCATTTTGTTCAGTGCTGGCTCTGTGCTGAGGGGGCGGGGGGGGGGGCAGAGAGAGCGAGGGAAGGCGCAGAGCAGGAAAAGGGCAAAAACGAGACAGAACGAGGAGCGGAGTCGAGCCGGCCAAGCCTCGAGCGGAGCGGCGGGGAGGGCTCCGCCCGGCCGCTGAGAGGCGATGGCGGATATCGACAAGCTCAACATCGACAGCATCATCCAACGGCTGCTGGAGGGTGAGGGTCGGGGACGGCGCGGTTGGGGGGGAGGGCGATGCGCCCGGCGGGGTCTGAGGGGGCACTAAAATGGAGGGGCGAGAGGCGCTTTGTCTGCCTGGGGTCGCCGCCTCCCCGCCTGGCTCGCCCCAACTTTCCCCTCAGCCCGTGTGGGTTTCCGAGGCGTTTCTGCCTTTTGATCCCTCGGTGCACTGCTGGGACCAGCCGGCTGCCCCCTTCTCCTCCCTTGGGGTTCTAAGGGGATGCTTAATCTAGTCCTGTGTTCGAATGAGGGGATGCTTAATCTAGTAGTATTTTGTAGGAAGGGCTTTTAAAAAGCCTGGGGTGTTCTCTTGCCTTTCACGCATACACATGGGATCAGTGCATGGCTGGGTAGTGGCGGGGCTCTGGAAATAAGACTCAGCTTGTTTAAAGAGTGTTGAGGCAGCTTTTCAGCAAGTCGGGAGGAGACTGCCGTGGGTTTCAGTGTATTCTGGCTTTAGCTTTGATTAGCTGCTTGCATTAAAGCTGCCACAGGATTTTGGCTCTTAATTCGTAACATATGGTGGGATTTTAGGTGTGAATAGAGGGTTGGGGTTTGGTGTTTCAGACAGTCTGAAAAAGGGCTTATTGTCTGCTGTTGTTGTGCTCTGGGATGAAAAGAGTTGCCTGGGAGTTTGTAAATCAAAGGAAAACCTGGAAGTTGCAGGGGGTGTCTCCAGCATCATCGCTTCGCTTGCAGGGATCAGCGCTGGGCTGGGATCGACTGATTTTGGGGCAAAAGACTGAGAAGCTGCCAGTGACAAATTCTCTTCCAGGCATCAAGGAAAAGCATAATTATTCAGAGAAAGAAGCTAGGCTGATCCAGCCTCACTTCACGTGTGCCAGGGCAGCATCTCATCTGGACTTACTCTTGAGAAGCTTGGTCAGGGATTTAACTTTTTACCATTTGGCACAAAGCTGAGATGGTGCTGAGAAAAATAATGAAGAAATGTCTTTTCTTGCACACTTTACTTCTTGCAGGATTTTGCTTGTGTAATGCTTAGATAGCAAAAGGTCAGGCAGAGAGAGGAACAGAAATTCTACTCTAGAAAATTGGAGCTAAAAAATCCTGTAGATGAATTATGGGATTACTGAATAAGTAAAAGTAAATGGGGTTTTTCCTCTGATCCGGTTTGGGTTTTGCCTGTTACCAATTTAAACTGCCCTGGTTTCAATTATTTAAAGACTTCCCTTCATAAAGTTAGACCAGGATTTTCCTGAAAATCCAGTAATACGACTTGTAAATGTCAGGTCTCGTATGTCATATGTTTGGTGACATATTAATACATGCTCAGTTGAATTGCACTCATTAGTTATAGTTCTTACTGTTTTCCCTTAGTGTAACTAATGCAATATTTCCAAAGTGTAAAGTTTCATTTTTAAAAGCATGGATTAGACCTTTCCTAGAAAGAAATGCAAGTGATTTCTCTGTTTAAAGTTTCAAAAGGTAGTAAGATGTACTATGTCAATGTGTTCTGCTCTTGCTCAGTTTATATCAACATTAGATGGTTGGAGCAGATAAGAGTTCATGAATCAGGCTTCAAAAGGTTTACTGACATATTTTATGAGGTGCTTCATGCAATCGCAGATGTTACCTGAGGTTGCATCAGCTGCCAGAACTGAAATTAATTTTTTTCCCTTTATTAATACTGCAGCTGGGATTTTGGATTCCTTGAGGCCATGATTGTCTTTCAGTATTTAAAACAATTACTGGTGTTAGTAACCTATGCTAGTGCTTTATTTGTTGATTATTAAATGTCTGTTCTAAATGTCTTCACCAGACAGAAAGTAATGACTGACCTTTGTGAGTGTCATTTTTATACTTCTTTTTCCTAAAACATGGCTGCATTTCAGCACACACTGCATTTTAGATTTAGATCAAAGAAATTATTGGTTTTCAGTGCAGTTCTGGTAGAACAAGTGCATAATGTTAGTTACACAAAGTGTGGTGTGCCCATGAGGTCTGTGTCAATACCCCTTCAGACAAGGCTGCCCACAGATTAAAATCATACTCGGGCATAAAAACACTGCAAAATCTGCTTTAATAATCAGCTCACAAACTGAATTGCCCAAATCCTTGTGCAAGCTGTAATTTTAGAGCAATTTGGTATTTCATTATAGCTCTCTTTAAACTTTAAATACTTACACATTTTTATAGCAGTTAACTTTAGCTGATTTTGGTACTAAAATTTAAAGAGTATGAGCAGGGGGCTTAGCCCTTTCTAAAGGTAACAAACTCCAGCACTAATGAAATACTGGAAACCAGTGGGCAAGTACAGTTAGGAATTTGTTTTATCATGGTCCTTAGCATTGCCCTGTTGGAAGAAGCAGTGAATTGAGTCTAATGGTTGAGGTAAAGTTAAGGGTGAATAATAAATTATTCTTGCTTTTGCCCTTAATACAGGGTATTAATAATGTATTTGTGAGGGATTTTAGTTGCTTTCTATCCTGACTCCTCTGCTCAGCTGACATTATTCCTACTTTTCCCCCAGATAGTGATCTTCTCCCACCCACATTAGGCTATTTAGGTGAAATTATTAGCTTGTTCTTTAAAAGGCCTGAAAATATATGCTTCTCATTCTAAGGTAAATAACTGAACAGGTCTGGTAACTGTAATGTTCACAAGCGTGAGACTTGCAAAGTGTAGTAAGTAACAGTATCCTGCACTGAGTATTGAAATGTTTTTAAGTATCTTTGATATTGGGTAAAGGCTCAAATATTGATGGAACTAATTCACCTTCCTGAGGAATATGAGGGGTCAAACATGAGAGCAAATTTTGCCTCTTCTAGCAGGGGGTACTGAAGGCAGCAACTGCAGCTGTGTGTGCTGAGTCAAAAATTAAAAATACCAGCAGACAAAAAGATGCTAAAAAACTCCTTGTAAGATAAAAAAATCAGTGGCACCTGTGTGGTCTTGGGAAGGGTTCCAGGAAATGGCAGAATTCCTGCTTGCCTCAGTGAAGAATGAGTGACAAATCCTGAGGCTCCCTGAGTGTGAGCGTGGCTTCCTTTCTGTGTCATGTCAGATGGGCTTCCTATAACTTGAGCCCCTTATCCATTTCCTTCATCTCGTGTGCTGGCAGCTTTTGCAGATAAGTAGGGTCTGGTTTGAAGCTCACAGTCACCTATTTAGAAAACAGGGTTGAAGAGTATTAGTCTTACCATGGTAACAGTAAATAATGGATAAAATAACAATTTCAGCATACCTAAGTGACCCAAGTTGGAATGTGTTTCTGCAGATCTCCCCTGTGCTGCATCCTCTGCAGGCACTGTTAAGGGAGAATTAAATAATGAATGGAGGCTACTTTGGATAAAGCCACATGAGACTACAATGGTGGTAGCCATTCTGAAAACTGAAATCCTGGCTAGTGCACTAAAATCTGCAAAAAGACTCTTGAATCCTTAAACATTTCTGTTTATACACCCACAGATTTCTATTCCCAGTAAAGCCTGTTGTAGAGATGTCAAGGAGATATTCTCTCTTAATTTGCTTTAAATGGGGAAAGATTATCATCTACTTATTAAAAATAGTTAAGCTAAAGAGCATGGATAAGATTTTGTTCACCACAGAGATGTTTTCTCACAAATGCAGTCCTATAATTTTTTTTTCACCTTTCTGCTAAGTACAATATTAATTGGGTCTGCAGGGTTGCTTGCCCTTTAGCTGCATATACTGGGGTAAGAGTGATTCTCAGAGATGTTAATCTGAAATGTCACATTTACTCATGGGTGAGCTGGGATGCTGTGATGAAGTTTCTCATAGACAAGCAACACTTTTTGACCTCAAACCTTATCATTCTCCCTAGTTTGTGTGGCTTGATGTTAATTGTTTCCTGCTGTGGTGCAGCAGTTGCTAAGAATAGGAAATAGAAACTCTCAATTCCAAAGACCAGCATTAGATTCTTATCAATGCCATGGATTCAAATAAGTCTGTGAAATTCTTTGCCTGTTGCCCAGTCAGAGAAGTGGAGGAATTTGTTCCCTCTGTTTGTGAGCAGTGTGAGTACCTGTTGCTCCTCACCCGTCTGCAGTGTGGAAGTACCTTACAAGGTGAAAAACTCGTAATCATGCAGAACCTTCCAGTACTAGAAAGCAGATGAGAACTTTTCAGAGCCTTGTGCACTGAGGAGATGCTTTTCCATTTCAGTTTTGAATTTGAAGAGATCTGATCAAAGCTGGTAGTGCCTGCAGTAAAGTAAAACCTTTTTTACATCAACCACTTTCAAGTTATTTATTCCCTTTGTGCCTATGGTGCAAAACTGACTGTGAAACTGTCATTGGGAACTGCTAAAAACTAGATTAAAACCAACCTGCAGTATTTTTGGAAATGTCACTATGATTGCAGACATCTTAACATAAAATATGGTGAAACTGAGAGACTTGTTTAATAAGCCAGAAAAATGAACTGACCTGTAGATAGACTATTTTTCTTAAAACATTTTCTGTAGGAGAACTTGATTCTCACACTTCAGTTGACAGTATTTCAGCTGCTTCTTGTAATGCAATACTGAATGGAAATGAGATGTTTGGATCACTGCAATTTCTGGCATTTTTGAACTTCCTGCTATTTTTGACTACTTCTCTAAGTATCTGTCCCTTTCATATTAACCTTGACTGACGTAAAGGACTGTGTGGCACCAAAGCAAGGATTGGAGAATGCTGGGGGTGGGTTGGGATGTAGGAGTCTGTTGTACTCTGCATGCATATGGTCTCAGACTGTTGTAGATTCTGGATCCCCCCAGCTCCTGACCCATTTATCCCTCCCAGGGAAATGTAGGATAAATTCTCAATGTCAGGCAGTGTTCTGACTCCTGGCAGCTGCACCTTGTACTTGCTGTTTGCTTGCTCCAGAATGACTGGGTGCCCCAAGTTCTTGCTTTTCTTCTATTCCTTCCTTTCCCCCTCTGCTGGGCACCTGTCATACTGCTCTGTTTATAGTACACTCATTTTAGAGTTGGTATCTTGTTTCCATCAGTTTCTCCCTGTCTTGGAAGTCAAATATAATTTCAATAGTGGACCCTGTGTTCAGAGCAGTACTTTTGCAAAGATCACCTGGGCTGCTGGGAGGGATTTTTTTTCTGTAGTTGTTTCCATCAAGTGGTGAGGCTTTTTTTTTTCGCAACTTCTCATATTTGTACAGTAAGAAAGATTTTACCTGTTAAAGACTGCCCAGACTGGACACTAAAATTGAGGCTCTAGAGAAATCATTTCTAAGAGTAGGAGCATCTCTGCCTAAAGAGGGTGGGAATATTTTGCTGTCTGGAAATGCTGCAGCAGTGTGTTCAGGCACAAATAAAATATCATTTGAAATGGGCTGATTTTTTTCCCCAAATGATTAATCTTTAGCTTGTTCCACTGTCAGTTCCAGGATGTCATTTCTGAGAGGTTATTTTTTATGCATTGAAAGGGCAAATGTGCTTGTACAGTACTATTGAGCTGCTCTTTTGACTTCATGACCAAGCTGTCAATTAGTATTATATTGTCTGATCTCCACAAGCTGCCTTGTTTTGGTCCAAAGCAGAGAAACAAACTGTCAACACAACATATTTTTCATAGTGTTCTATTTTTGTCTTTCTTAGAAGGACTAAGTAACTGGAAGACCCAGAGAAACCTTTTAAAAAGTCATTAAGACTGAATATCCTGCATTTTTGTGCCAACTCTTTCATTGTGGATGAGAAAACCCTTGCACTAAAAATAAAGATTCCTCAAACCAAGATGCACTTCTGCATGAGTGCCATTCTTCTGAAGCCAAACACACTTTTGTTTTCCCAGCTTTTCAGGACATACAGGTTAATGTCACAAGAAATTGAACACACTTGTCTCCTCTGTGCAGGTTCCATGTTGGACAAAGCATTGAAAATGTCACTGGCAGGCAGAGCTGAACCAAATTTTCTTGTTCTTTCATCCGTGGCATCTGTCCTAGGGAGTTTGGGAAGTGCAGCAAAGCATCATCTCATTTTGTCAAGGTTTTCTACAGGCAGGTGACTAAAACTGTATGAGGATTATACCAGTTCAATAAAAATGTATTGGAAAAATCCTAGAAAACCTGTGTCTGAAACAGTGCTCAGATCTTCATTTAATCTTGAGCAAAAATGAGTGCACATGCTTTATTCATCAGCTTTAGTGACTCAGTGCATTGCATAGTCTTTATAATATTTTATCTTTTTAATTTATGGATGTGAAGTACAGGGTATGGTTTTAGCAATTTCTAAGAAGACCAAATCATGGCAAATTAGATTTTTGGCTTCACAGAAAACTAAATACAAGTATTTCATATTATCTCAAAAAAAAAAAAAGGTGAATTGTAAAATCTATGATTAAGTGACCATCAGTTTTATATTTACAATTCAGCCAGTTTATCACTTAATTGTAAAAATTTCTGTTGTCTATTGCTTCTGGATATTTGGCATTTTGAGTAACTTGCTTGTTGCTCAAGAGCCTTTGGAAAATTACTGTATGGATGAAAAAATCAGTGCATGGATGAAAAGCCTCATTCGTGATAAACTGCTGTGACAAAGATTTAACTTCCATTTACATGCTTCATTACTTCTGAGATTTTAATGAAAGACATGAAATGCAGTGGTAATTCCAGTGTTGGCATGTAATGTCAGTGGTGAGTGATAACACGTGGGCAGTGAGGAACAGAGGAGCAGGTAGAGCCTGAAAGAGAACACTGTTAAAGGCGTGACTTTTGACCTATAGTTATGTCACTGTGAACGTTCATAGTCATCTGAGCTGGGGTTTCGTTTTGGAGGTCGTTTGGGGAAAGGTGGTGTGGCTTAGGGCACTGCCAGTGGCTCTGCAGGGCAGAACCTGCTGGGGTCTCTGGCAGTCAGCGTGCAGGGAAGGATTGCTGTGGCAGCAGCACTGTGAGTGCTGGCAGAGATCACATCCAATGTCACGGATTTCATGGCTGTTACACAGTCATTATCTTATTCAAGTGCACACTCGCTGAGCGGTGTTTTCTGTGCTTGATCAGAGGCCTGTGGAAAAGTCAGGAGCTTCTGTGCTAGTGAGAAATTAGAACACAACTGTTTTTTGTTCTTGCTGTTCTTAAAATTTGCCTCGAGCACCCCCAGCCTTTCCCACTGCAGTTCTCACTTGGCTCTATAGAGCGCAGGGCCCACAGTGATGGCAGAGATTTGAGTCATCTGGAGCTTTCAGATTTCGCACTCAGAGGTGAAACAGTAGCAAAGGAATTACACCGAAGTGCCAACTAGCTACTAAGTTATTCAGGACTTCAGGAAGAGAATACTGCATAGTTTTTTGTGTTTGAAATGATTCAGGCTTGTTGCTTGCTCTTTTTGCAGTTAAAGACCAGACTTTTTTGGATAAGGGTATAGATTCTTCAGTCTCAATGCCATAGAGTTGCTCACAGTAAGTCACCTAACCTGGCAGCCTTAGCAGTGGGGGCATTTTGTTTCTGGAGGTGCTGGCAGAGCGTTTCCAGCCCATCTAAGACTGGTTCTTGGTGGTTTGGCTTTGCTGCAGCTGAACCAGTGGGTTACATTGTGGAAGATGACTGCTGCTCTTACTTTTTTTTTTTCCTTCAGCCTTATCACTATTCTATGTTGTCACTGGTTTTGACACCAAATAAAAATACAGGCTTCTCCAGTAATGGCATACTCCTATTTTTTTTTAATCCAGTCTTAACCCTTATAAATGCTGTTTTGTGCAATTTGGGCTATAGTTACAGCACGGCTGCTGTAGAAATGTCCTTTTATTTATGGGCAACAGAAATACAAGTATGGGGCTTGTTCAGGTCAGGCCGATGTCCTTATCCAGAGCAGGAAGGAAAGCTTTAATGGATGTTAAAGGAACAAACTGTCCTGAATTGTTGCAGTGGGGGAGACTGAAGTAGTGATGGAAGGGTGTGAAGGATGGGAGTTGGGAGGGGGAAGTGCTTTGGGGCTGGGAGATTGGTCTCCTGCTGGCTTGTCTCTTACCCTGCTCAAAGGCAGTAATGATGGCAGCTGCTTTGTCATCATGATCCAAAACTATTTCTTTACTGTTAGTCCTTACCTTCCAGTCATGTGTGGATTTTTCTTCCTTGTTTTCCAGCTGCAGTGTAGAACGGGGTAGTGCAATATTTACTGATGCTGTGGTCTTGTTTAGGTTGGGTGAGGCGATTTGCTGATTTAGGGAAGCTTGTACATTTGTTGGTGATTGTGTGGCAGACAGCCTTTGCTCAAATTAGACAGCTTCCAGAGAACAAGCACATAACTGCTTCACTAAAAAATAACATGTAAATAGTCACATTGTCCAAGATGGGGTTTGTAACTAAGTAGAAATAAACTGATGCTATTTAAAATGTGACATTTTTAACAGGAGAAGTGTTGAGCCATGAATTCTGTTGAATGAAATAAAATGCAACTGGAACAGAACACACTCCCCTTTCCCTGGCGCTGCCATTTCACCCCAGCACACCAGTCCTACCCTGGTACCCTCTCATTCAGTGCTGCTCTGGCATTTAGTCAGACTTAAAATAACACCAGGGATGTTGCTGCTTTTGATAACTGATTTCTGACTCCTCTTGGCAGTGCGAGGATCAAAACCAGGCAAAAACGTCCAACTTCAAGAGAATGAAATTAGAGGACTGTGCTTGAAATCCAGAGAAATCTTCCTGAGTCAGCCTATTCTACTAGAACTTGAAGCTCCACTGAAAATCTGTGGTGAGTACTGTGAGTTTTGGTTTCATCTTGGGGGAGGTGTCAGGTAAATGCAGACAGTAAGCAGAGAAAGTGCCAGATGCTATTTTCACTTACTAACAGTGAAATTAATAAATAATCATAGCAAAAGGCAAAATAAAACCCTCCTGGATATATAGGGTAGAGGAGTGGAGAGGGAGGTAATATGTGGGAATTATTTTGGGACCAAAATAATTCAAGCCCAAAAAGCAACTGGTCCAGTTTCACCAGGCTGGGGGAGAGATTCACATGAAGTTTTGGAAAGAAGTTATCAAATAAATGATGTTTGGCCCAATTGTGACTGAACAAGGGGAAACAATGAGGAACCCCAGTATTTAATGTGCTACCATACAAAGCTGAGCAGTGTTTTGACAGTATTTTAAAATCCAGCTGGAAGGTGTTTTTTGGTACTGTTTCTTGGAATTACGTTCTAGTTTGGTTTCACCGTATTGCATACAGCAGTGCTCATTTTGCACACATGTATATGTCTACTTGTGCTAAAAGAATGAAAAATGTCAACATAAAAGCCTCAATAAATGCAATTTTGAAAGCTTCCAGCACATAGTTTTTTATCCTACTCAAAAACAGATGACTTACTTCAATTTGAAGTAGCTCATTCCATATTTATTATATTGGTAGTCTAAAATGACAACTTAGTGTTCTGGTTGTCAGAAACAAGCCCATGATTTAAACTAAAGGCAAAAATACCAATTTCATTTTTGATGCAGTTTCCCTGCTAGAATTTGAATTACTGGGTATTTCCAGAAAATACAGTTGGTTTCTTGGAATCTTGATTTTGTTTTATACATGCAAATATTTTTGTGTAGCTACCATTGCATAGATGTCAAAATGTGATAATTTTAGATAACTTAACTGCTATTTTAAGTATGTTATCTAACTGCAAGCTTTTTTTCTTTCTGAAACATCTTTGATTTGTACTTTCTCTAGAATCAATCAAAGAATGTAGTGAAGGGTCACTTAACTGTCGTGTCTGAATCTCCTTGCAGGTGACATCCATGGACAATACTATGACTTGCTCCGACTCTTTGAATATGGGGGTTTTCCACCAGAGAGCAACTACCTGTTCCTTGGTGATTATGTTGACAGAGGAAAACAATCTTTAGAAACAATTTGTCTTCTACTGGCCTACAAAATTAAATACCCAGAGAATTTTTTCCTCCTCCGAGGGAACCACGAATGTGCCAGCATCAATAGAATTTATGGGTTTTATGATGAATGTAAGTACCAGGCATGTGTGCCTCTACTGGGGACAGCACAGTGGCAATGTTGAATGGCTCCTTCCTCACTGGAAATGCCCTCTGTGCTCTTTAGAGGGGTCCTTGGCCTGTTTTAGAGAGGGGAGTCTGTCCTTCCCCTGGCCCTCATGGAGTCTGATGCCCATGCTACAAAGCAGCAACCAAGTGGGTAATATTATTTGTTGGCTGCTGTGTTAACTAACAATTCTCACTGGTAAAACTCGGAAGGGCATTGAATGAGAGATGGAGAATTTAATTTGATGTGCACTACAGAGGTTCACTTCTGTTTCATTCATCTGATGATGATATGTACAGATTGTGTGATGGGGCTGTATGTAGACCTTACCCAAACACAACAAGTAATTTTGTTGTGAAGTAGAAGCCAATGTTCCTGTTTCAAAGGATGTGATTTAATCCAGATAATGTAGAGATGATATTAAATTAATTGTGCACTGAAGCATGTTAGAACTGTGTGGTGGGACACACTTGGCTTGCAGATGATGACAAGATGTGCGCTCCATGTCTTGTTCTCCTCCTGTGAGGAAACAAAGATGTGTGGTATTTCAGAGTTGTCTCCTCAGAGATTAATCACAGGCTTAGTCATATATCAGAAATATGTTCAGGGTTCATATCTGGGAGAGTCCCTTTGAAATTCATAAAACTGTGGCAGTTTTGTTTTTCAGTCCTGTTTCATTTTTCAGTCCTGTTTATTTGCCGAAAGTGAGTTTATGTGGTAAGGCAGAATTTTAAAGAAAATCTGCTTTTCAAGAGTTGCTGTCTTCCCCTGAAAGGAATGGCAAATGGCAAGATTTTCTGCAGTAGATCAAATTCTCCAAGGGACAATTTGCCAAAGCAGAGTTGAGACTGGAGAGCCTGATTGCCAACTGTTGAACAGACTTATGGTGTCCTTGAAGCTGTGCCACACTGAGAGGCCTTTGCCACTGTCTTTAAACAATTAAATAAGTCAGAAAATATCAATTATATATAGGTTCTAATGCTGACTTTTTGCAAGTCTCAGTAAAGTTCAGGCATCTATGTTAGGTTGGTTGTGTTTGTGTTAGAAAAGCACATTGACTGGGTTTTTCTCCCCAATATCTTCTAGGTAAGCGAAGATACAATATTAAGCTGTGGAAAACCTTCACAGACTGTTTTAACTGTTTACCAATTGCAGCTATTGTGGATGAGAAAATATTCTGCTGTCACGGGGGTGAGTAGCAGTTCCTTAGATGACGTTTGAGGAACTGGAAAACTCAGTCATGGCAGTTTCATGTTTACATTGCTGAAGCTCTCAAAACTTAGGGATTTTTCTCTGCCTTGGCTCATGTGTGAGGAAGGGTTGGGCTCAACGAGTGTCAGTTTTGTGAATCATGGAGCCGGTTCAGACATGATGATCTGCTCTTCCTTTTCCACCAAAGGCACCTTTAATAGCCTGTCCTTTGAAGCAGAGTTCTTGTAGGGTTTTTTTAGACTTAGATGACCAGGAGTCTGATGTCTGTCCTGAGAACATCTGCTTTCACAGAACCAGAGTGGTTTGGGTTGGAAGGCACCCTTGGGGATCAGTCAGTAGAATTCCCCCATCATGGGCAGGGACTCCTGTCTCTAGGTCAGGTTGCTCCAAGCCCTGTATGATCTGATGGGTTTAATTTGTAGAGATTGATTTATGCCACATGATGCAGCTTTTTCTGGTCATAAAGTACAGATTGCACCTTAAACATGTACTTTATGACCAGAAACTGAGTCATTAGAGTTGCCCAGGGACTCTCATCAGTGGAAAATAGTATGAGATTGGTTTGATATTTTATTTCATCTTGCTGATCATCACAGTGAGCATTCCCTGTGATTCTGGGTGTTCATGCCTTTTTTATTTAACATCTCTTTTATCAGACACTTGCATAACATTAGTGAGATTATTGTAATCCTGTAAAATGTGGAAATGGCCTTGCTTTATCCTGCTTCTAATAAATCTAGAAAGTGACTTCTGTACCAAACACTTTAGAACAAATGCTGGATTTATAAACTGTCAGTGAATGTCGCCATTGAGCTACGTAAAATGGCAGCGGTGAATCACTTTGAATCCAAGTTATTTTTGTCCTGGATGAATGTCAATGCTGCAGAGCAAAGCTGGACTAAGCTGGGGCCTGCCTGTGTCTTCCCTGTAACAGGTTTGTCACCAGACCTGCAGTCAATGGAGCAGATCAGACGAATCATGCGCCCCACGGATGTACCGGATCAAGGTCTCCTGTGTGATCTCCTGTGGTCTGACCCTGACAAGGATGTCTTGGGCTGGGGTGAAAATGACAGAGGAGTGTCCTTCACTTTTGGTGCTGAAGTGGTTGCTAAGTTTCTCCATAAACATGATTTGGATCTCATATGTCGAGCTCATCAGGTATTTTCATTTTATGCATTAAACCATAGAATAATTTAGGTTTGGGGGACCTGAGGTGGCCATCTGGCCCAGGCCAGGCCTGTGTCAGCCCAAGGTGCTGAGGGCCTTGTCCAGCCAAGTTGTAAATATGTGTGAGATTCTCTGAATGTATCCCAGTGTTTAACAGCACTTATAAGGAACGTTTTCATATAAACTCTGACTCTCTTGAACAAAAGTTTTCTCAATGTTAATGGACTCTGTTGCTGAGCTGGCTCTTGTGATGCTCCTGTTTAAATGTAAAAGTTTTAAATTCATGCTTGTTAAACATAGCCAGGTTTTCAGCTGCTGCCTCTGGAAAAGTTGCTGCCCAGAGTAATATCTTTGCTTTTGTCTCTAAAGGTGGTTGAAGACGGATATGAATTTTTTGCAAAAAGACAGTTGGTAACTCTCTTTTCTGCCCCAAATTACTGTGGAGAATTTGATAACGCGGGTGCCATGATGAGCGTGGATGAAACACTAATGTGCTCTTTCCAGGTACAGTGTCTGAAGACTTCTCCCTTCTATTTAGTGAGGTTGTACATTAAATTTGTGCTATTTTGAATCCATGTTTTACTGTTAAATAACAGTAAGACTTGTTTCAAATAGATCTTTACAGCTGTCACATGTAGGCAGGGCAGTGCACTCACATCTTCAAAAACATGATAACCCTGTGCTGGTGTGAGTAGGGGAACTGTTTTGTCTGGAATTAAATCACCCAGGCAAAGCAGTTGGCTGTCAGCTGCTCCCACTGCTGTGGGCTCTGGAGCAGCTGATCCCACAGCCCAGCCTAGCTCAGAGCAGGAAACACTCTGATTTCCTGGCACATTGAGACTTGTCCAGAACCATGCAGTGCCTTTGCCAGTGAATTACTGCTTGACTGGAAGACAGCAAAAACTTTTTGCTAAATGACCCTTCTCTTTTCAGATCTTGAAACCTGCAGAGAAGAAGAAGCCCAATTCCAGCAGACCTGTAACACCTCCCAGGGGCATGATCACAAAACAAGCCAAGAAATAGTCACTTTGGCACTGCCTTGTTGGGACTTGTATCATAGTCTATATCCTCCATTTTTAAACCTATCATGTGTGCTGTTCAGCTTGCTCAAAATAGATAATGTGTTTGTGGTTTTCCTTTCCATTTGATGAATGGCATTTGCTGGTTGTAACAGCGAATGAAAGACTTTCCTCCCTCCCAGGAAAAGAGTGTGAAAGTCCCCCTGTGTCAGTGTTCCAGCTGCACACTCCACAGCATCTCCCCACCAGCCAGGTAACCGCGGGGCTGGCGGGACCATACCATGAATAGTGTAAATCTTGTTCTTTAGGATCTGAAGAGGGCACTCGTGTGCTGTGAGAGTAGAGATTGTTCCTGTCAGCGATTACATACTGTTTATACAAACCACTGTGAACTTTTTTTTATGTTCAATTTTGTTTTAAAGGGATTGCTTTTCATTTAATGTCTTGTCATGTACACGTTAGTTTTATTGCTGCCGACATTAGGAATAACCTTCAACCTTGCCAGCACCACTGGTAGGATGTATATTTAATTCAGACACACATCCCTCTCCGTATACTTCAAATGACAAAGCCATTATTTTAAGTGTTTGTGTCTCCTTCCTGAAGCCAAAGTTCGCTTAGAAACCCGTTTGTACACACCCCCCTGCCAAGTTGGCCGGGCTTCCCATCCACGCCTTCCTCTCGGAGAGAAAAGGAAGTGCTGGCTGGAAATAGCAAACAGAAAGGCTTGTCCATGCTCAAAGTGAACACGTTTTTGTACAGTTTCCGTGTGTTCAGTCAAGCAGATCCCAGTGCTGAGACAGCAGTCCCAGGCAGTGACACAAATGGCTCTGGGAGTGATGGAAGTGGCTCTGGATCTGCTGGAAGGGGTTTGTGCATTTCAGCATAAAGACTTTGTTCTACAAAAAAACCTAGAAACTCGCTTGATAAGCCAACCAGAGGTGTTGATCTTGATCACCGGTTTATATAAATCTCTCACAGAACCTTGTTTTTTAGAAACTGTTGATCTTTTTTGAACAGATGACAGTGTACAATATCATGTAGTGAAAATCACTTATTAAATGAAGAAATTGTTAAATCTTCTCAGTGTCAGTTTATCACAACATATACACTACTGCTCTCCAAGGGCCTGACGTAGAGAAATAAATTGTTCTGGAAACCCACAGATTCTTGGTTTGGATTTGTCTGAGCTGCAAGAGGTGATTTTGAACAGCAGTGTTGGGTTTAACTCTGGGTCTGGAGCCTCAGGCAGAGGCTCTCCCAGCCAAGGGGGTGCAGCTCCTGCAGCACCGCACATGGGGCCGCTGGTCCTGAGCTGGTGTTTGCTACAGCCCTGCTCAGGACTGGGCAGCAGCACACAGGCACAGGAGGGCAAGTTCAGCTCTGCTCCTCTTCATTGTTCTGTGCACTGAGGGGTTGGCCTTGAGTGCAAGTGCTGCTTTGAGAGGGCTGGAGCTGAGATCAGACTCATTTCCTCTGGTGTTTAATTAGAGAACTGAATTTCTGGTGGAATGGGGAACCTGAGTCCATTTTATCACTGCTGGCTGTTGGGACAGGAGGCTCTGTGGGGATGGATCAGGTGTGTGCCAGCTCCAGGCACTCAGCTCTGGGCTTCCACAGGACCAGCCTGGGGTCCTTCACTGCCGTGTGGAAAATGCTGTGGGCTGTTCAGCACTCAGAGGAGGCAGCTGGTTCTTACCCTGTCCCTGCTGTAGGGCAGCTGCAGTGCTGCTGCATCTGCTGGGGAAGAAGCTTGTCACTGCAATGCCCGGCTCTGTCCCGTGGTGTCCCACTGAATTCCCCTCTCCCTCTGCAGTGAGTGGCACTCGCTTGCCACAAATGCATTTTCTGAGCGCTCTGCAGGCATGGACTTTATTTTTTCAATGTATTTCTCTGAATCAAAGAGCCATTTTCCTACTCTGAAGACATTTTTCCCTTCCCTCTACAGCTGATTAATCAAAAACCTCTAACTACCTCTGCTGAGCTTGCTAGATCAGATGTCACAGAGCACCTGGTAAGGCTCTCTCACCCAAACTTACTTTCACCCTTTGAATCACATTTGAGGTTTCCTTTATAGCTCTATAATTTTTCTCCCTCCCTGTCCAACACCCTGCATATCTGTTATTGCTGTTGTGGGTGACAGCACACGTGGAACCGGTTGGGATGTGCCTGCTCTGGCAGAGACACTGTCACCCCTCCTCGCCAGCCGTGCTGCCTCTGGCTGTGCCACACCTTTGTTCTCCGTGGCTTGTTTTTTTTCTCTCCCAAACAGTTTCAGTGACACAGGTGCCTATTTGGGACTGTTCTCTGCCTGGCTGCATTCCCAGAGGTTGGGTCATTCCTCAGGTCCCTGGGGTGGTGGGGGGTGAATCCTAGGGAAGAGAAGGGGCTGCTTCTGCTGTTGTGATCAACAGCTCAGGCACATTTTATGTCCATTTGTTGGGGTTGGGTTGTTTTATCAGTGGAGGAGAACAGGAGTAGTAGATGCTGATTGCTGATTGTTTTTCCACAGTGATGCTTGTAGGAATATCTGGCTGACACATGGAATGGCTGGAGCAGCCGTGAGTCTCCCAAGACGTGTGTCCCCACAGCCCAACACCAATTCCTGCTGGCCCAGAGCTCTGTGAATGGTGCAAAGAATGGATTGGGGTAGGGAGGGGCACTGGGCTGTGCCAGAGGTCTCCACAACAGGTAGCAGGAAATTGTGGTAAATCCAAATTCACTTCAATCCCTGTTGTGTGCCCTGGAAAGAGTGGTGAGATCTGAGGCACTTGTGTGTTTGCTGCCCCTCACTTCGCTTGGTGTTTCTCTGGTTTCTCCAAGGTGAAGTCTGTTCTTGCCACCCCCCTGTGGAAAGGCTGGTTTTCCACACAGGTAATTTTTGCCTGTTCCTGCTTTGCTTTGGATGTGTCAGGGCTGTTGTTGTGTTCAGCTCCAAGTCAGGCTGACTTCAACAACAGCACATCAATTTTCCTTGGAACATCAGGACCTGGTCCTCAGCAGAACTCAGGCCACAGGGGAACATGGGGATTTTATGTACATGCCCCTCCTGGTGGGGGTTTTCTCCTTAAACCCCACAGTCCTCACCCAAAAGGGGCTGGATCCGATGAGCTCCCAGGTGCAGATCTTCCCCCATTACCTAATTGCTGTTTACTGGACTCAGCTGAATTCAAAATGCCCAAATTAACTGGAAACCCCCAGGCTAAACCTCCCTGCCATGGGTCCAGGGCTGTGCCTTTGCTGTCCCACTCCTGAGCTCCGTAAGTCGCTGTTTTGGGGTGATGGTTGAGGGATGGGGGATTTGGAGCTCCATGTCAATTGTGCTCATTCCCCATTGCCCTGGGATGGAGAACAGGGATGTGTGCTTGGGGATGAGGTGCTAGAAAATGTTTTGGTTGCAGGAAAAGATTTAAGCACTCTCTAGGAGGACATCCTTGCAAAGAAAGAAATACCTTTGGGTTTTAGAATTGAAGAACTGGAGAGATGTTTGTTCCTTGGAGAAAATTAGGAATATTTCCAGTTTGTCCCAGCAGAGGTGCCACAGAGATGGGTCCCAGGTGCTTTTCACAGCTGAATTTTTCTGAGGAATTCCCAAACCAACTTGTGTTTGAGAGATGGTGGGAAAACCCTAAATAATGAAAAGACCTCTGACAAAACACGAGCTTATAAATGGAGGCAGATTAATCCAGGCCCGATTCCTGGATTTTACAGCCCACATTATCTCTGTACCTCCACCAACTTCATGGGACTAATCTGTCTCCGTGCTCAGCAGCTCTCTCTGGGATCGGCAGAGTCACAATTTAATTTCGTGACTCTCCTGGATCTTTGCTCGTTGTTTTGTGCGATGGCGAAAAAAATTTAAAAACAATGAAAAAGAAAAAAAGTTTAAACTCCATCCGGCCTGTCGTGTTTCGGCAGCTCCCGCGGACGGACGAACTGTAGGCAGCCTGGGGAAAGAAGGCTGCGGAAATGGGAACTGTCGGGTCGGGGATGGAAGGGGGCCTGGCTCGGGGACCCGCTGAAGTTTGTCGGGGCGAGGCGGGAGGAGGCGGCGGGGCCGCCCCTGGCGGGGGAGGCGGAGCCGGGCCGGGGGAGGCCCCGCGGCGGCGGGAGGCGGCGGGCGCAGCCGGGACGCGCACGGTACCGGGGACGAGGGGATCAGGGGGCGGCCGGGAGGCTCCCGGGGCTCGGCCCGGTGGGTGCGGGTCGGGGTGGGGGGGGGTTATTACAGCGGGACCCTCCCGGGGCTGCCACGTCCTTCTCCTCGGGGTCCCGCCGCAGCCCCGAGCTCCGTCCTGCTCTGGGCGACGCCGTGGCCGCTCCGGTCAGTGCTGGGGACGGGGGAGGTTGGGAAGCCCCGGGGTTCTGAATGCTCCAGGCCCTGCGGCAGCCCCGAGGCCGTCCCGCACGGGGCAGGGGGCTCGATGCCCGGGGCCGCTCCCCGCGGGTTCCGCTCGCTGGCGGAGATCGAAGGTGCTGCCTCTGTGATGGCACCGTGGGACCAGCTCCCTGCTCCCGGCAGGTGACGAGGCTGCCGGAGCGGGTAGCGGAGCACACCGCGGCCCCGGAGAGCCGAAGAGAGGGGGCACCGGGCGGGCAGCCCGGGGGCACCGGCGGGCCGAGGGAGGCTTGTGCTGAGCTCCCCGGGCTCCAGAGCGAGAGATGGGAACGTGCTGGCGGCAGGAGCGGATCTCGGAGGATTTGTGGGCCAAGGCTGCAGGGCTGCCCAAAGAGGAAGGGAGGCTGGTGGGGTTGTGATAAAAACACGGGAGCCTCTCCTGCAGCCAGCCACGCAGCCCATCTGGAGCTCCTCATATCTGCTCTTCCAGCAAACTCGGAGTTTCACTCGTGGTTTTCATTGCTGGAGTGTGGCCTTAATCAGGAGTTTGGTTTGATGGTCCTGCCCCTCGCTGGGTACCCACAGGGATGGGCTGAAGCTGAGATGCCCAAGGGTGAGGTCAGCTCTGGACAGGAGGAGATGGGGAGGACAATGTCACCCACCTGCCAGGTTGGAATGTGGGCATCACCTGCTTAATTTGCCTGCAAAGGCCGAGATGACAGGGTGTCATTGGTGTTAATGGAGGGAAATTATGGCTGTTCCTCATCTTGGCATTGTGGCTGGAG